CTGTCAAATCAAAGACGAGTCTATCAAGAGAGAAAAGTACATCAAATTCCAGGTAACAACGACCGAGTTTTAATTAGGAAAAACGGCTGGTCAGATCTCGGTGCACCAATCGGTGAAGTGCTATTCAAGAAATTGAACAAGCAAACCAAAATGGCAGATCAATAGTAAAACTAGAAACGGAATATGAGCGGCTCGTTCGACTGAAGAGAATTCAGACAGGAAATAATGAATTGGCTCAAGCTACATAGTAGTAATAATTATAGTGAGAATTAAATTGGTGGACTACAACCAGGGATGAAAATCGTATCAGAAGAAGAAAGATATAATGTAGATTAAATCAGCTTGAAGTGGAAGCCCAATCTTAATATAACTGCATAATGGAAATGCACTGAATATTACTTTATTGTAGAAATGCATTACTGATAATTTTCAAGGTGGCAGCAAACCTCCAAACAAACAAAAAAAAAAAAAACACTATGAAATTATAAAAATAAATATTTATAGGAAAATTCAAAACAATACTAATTTAAAGCAAAATCTCCAACAATACATTTTATACATTATTTACATTATTCGGACTATAATCCTCATCTTTGTCGCCATATTTATCACAACGTTTCGGTCGTTGTATGCTCCGGCCTTCTTCAGGTGGTTGGAATGTCGAACTGAACCCTTTATTTCGCTCACTGGGGTAGACTGTTCTAGTTCCACGTGCCATGTTTTGATGGATGTCAGTTATCAGTTATCTCCAGTATTATATACATTTTATAGTAAAATAACCAACAATAGGTTTTTTCTGTTGTTGAAGCCATAAAATTATTTCGATTTTAGCATTAAATAACCCATAGAAGTGTTGATATGCCGCTAAACAAAATCAATCAACTAATGGTGTTATTATAGAAATTCATTACAATATGATTTTCTTTTTAATCGAATACACACGCTGCCAGGCAGTAAAGCCGCTAAGACACAAGAGGTTACTGGATGTGGAAGAATTAGAAAACAGAAACATTACTAAGAAACGATAACAATAGAAGAGCAATCAGGTATATTTACCCGGCTTCCCGACCAAGACTGGATGCGACATAAGGTCGTTCAAACGTGAGGAGCGTCATACGCCTACTTATGCATATGGGCCAAAGAGAAAAAATTGGGTTTTGCCTAGTCCCCTCGACAACTGTCACATCCGACCGAACCTCTTCAATGTAATGTGGAAGGTGCTGCCGCAGGTTTGGAATTCACGGGGCTGAGTGAGCAACGTCTTCCCTCTAAAATGAGGAGAAACATACCTCCATTTAAAGCAAAATGGTGGCGATGGGGCTTTAACCACGCCTCAGTTAACCCACAGGGAAGAAATTAGACAGCGCTTGACATTGCATTTATAATTATAACGCGAAAGACACGTGAAGTTGCAGTTGGAACTCGGCTCTCCGATTTCCAATTCCGAGACGTTATCCATTACACCACCCGCACATCCATGCTTACAGCTTCTGGTATTCCCAACCGTTTACCCATTTAGGCTCGATTGCTTAACTTTGGTTTCCGTACGATAAAGATATTGAAAGATATTGAAACACCGGTTGTGTTTCAATATCTTTGTCAAAACTTTTATCTAATCACTTTTGAATAATTAATATTAGGAGTATACGGGGATGTTTACAATCAATATATATATATATATATATATATATATATATATATATATATATATATTACTATATATATATATATATATATGTTTACTATATATTATATATATATATATATGTGTGTGTTTACTATCAATATATATATATATATATATATATATATATATATATTTACTATATTAAATATATATATATATATATATATATATATATATATATATATATATATATATATATATATATATATATATATATATATATATATTTATATATATATATATATATATATAGGTCTTACCAGTTTGTGATTGGAAGGGATAATTTAGTTTATGCAAACTTAGGTAATCCGTATGGGTAGAGCCGAGGAGGTTGATATCCAGAGAGCTCAATGTAAAATTCAGAGAGATATATTTGAATAAAAACAGACTACGTTAAGATTCCATGTAATAAGTTATTTCACCACCAACAGGCTTCTGGATCATCAGACTTTACTTCCAAATGTTCATTTCAGCTTTTGGAAGTAAAGTCTGATGATCCAGAACCCTGTTAAAGGGTTATGGTGAAATAACTTATTACATGGAATCTTAACGTGTCTGTTTTTTTATTCAAATATATATATATATATATATATATATATATATATATATATATAGAGAGAGAGAGAGAGAGAGAGGAGAGAGAGAGAGTAAAGAAAGATTGTCCACGTGGTATGTTTGTTATAAGTAGATATAGTAAGCTGTACTATATTATGCTCGCAAAAAGCCATATTTCATTTTATATTGCTCGTTAAGGAAAGATACAGATATGTCCGAAACCCCCGGCTTTTTAATTCTTTGTCGTCATGCTTCAAC